CCTCGACCAAGCTCTTCTTCAACATTTCCTTCAACCTCCATAGACAAACCCTCATCAATGTTCATTTGTGTAGTTAGAGGAGTAGGAGTAAGAATAGAAAAATGATGGACCATCAAAACCAATACTATCTCTCTTACTTTTCCTAGTATATTGGTTAACGGCTTCATCTTTGTTTTGCTTTGCAGACAACACTACATATACATTTGTTTGCTGCAAGTCATCAATTCTACAATGAATTGTCAAATGAATAGACAAAAACTAAGGACATAATTTTTGAAATGTACTGACAATTTCAATTATGAATATAATATTTGGGACACAATCAATACTTGTGTTGTCCACGCTGCCTTCATGTACTTTTTCAACAGACAATCGAGCTGACATATTGGTTGCATTTTCTTTATCTTGCAACTGTGCATTTTCTTGATCTTGCAACTGTTCTCCATGATCGTCGATTGCAAGTTCAGAAGATTCTGCAAAATATTTACAAGAGCTAACACAATTAGTACTTGTTACTAATCTTTGATTAAAACAAACATGTATAAAATTAAAAAAAAACTCCGTCTAACCTTTTGCAACTGTCAAGATCATGCCAGTTAAATCATTATCTTCACTAGCATTTTCTTGGCTTTCAATATTGTCGGTAAGAGAGCGAGGTGTAGAGAGATCATATATTCCTTCTATACATTTTCAAATAATCTCACTTATGCTTGTTCCTTGGGTATTTTCTAAGTCATGAGATTGTCCTCCACTTCTCTCTTGATAGTCCACTCCATCTTCTTCCCTTGTAGCTTCAAAAGATTCTGTAACATTTACAATTAATACCCTTTACTAATAGTTTACTAAAACTAACATTCAACATATCATGAAAATTCCATCTAACCTTGATTGGCATTATTTTGATTTCCAAATTTCTATTTAAGTGAGAGAGGTGTAGAGAGATCATATATTCCTTCAACAAATTTGCATAAAATCTCACTTACACTTGTTCCCAATGGATTTTCTAAATCCTGATATTGCACTCCACACTTACAAATTGTTTCTGCTACTCCTGTCTCATTTGGATTTTTCTGGTCTTGACATTCTAATACATCTTGAAATTTCACTCCATCAATAGATTCTACACATATTTGTAATCACTAAAAAGTTTATATATGTTACGCAATTGATATAAATTTCAATGACAACAAATTCAAAATTTATATCTAACCTTTCCCAATTTTAGTGCTAATATCAGTTTTTTCTTCTATATGCGCAACTCTATAATCGCTTTCATAATGATCTTCTTCATGCACATCTGTATCATCACAATGATCATCACATGCATCTTTGTTAATTGGAATAGTAGGTTTTGTACCATGGCAATGATTATCAATTGCATCTATACTACTTGGAACACTAGATTCTTTCTTTATATCCCTTTCATCAGGTTTGACAAGAATCTTCAACAAAGTATCAATCTTTCATCCTAGGTTTTTCTTTAAATCCTGTGAAAGAAATTAAGTTAAAAAGTTAAGGACAAGTAGTCCTAAACTTCAAGTTACAAGTTAAAAAGTTAAGGACATGCAGTCCTTAACTTTGAGTTCCAACTTCAAAAATTAAGGAAGGCAGTCCTTAACTTAGAGTTCCAAGTTCAAAAGTTAAGGACACTTGGTCCTGAACTTTGAGTTGCAAGTTCAAAAGTTAAGGATACTTGGTCCTTAACTTAGAGTTACAAGTTCAAAAGTTAAGGACACTTGGTCCTGAAGTTTGAGTTCCAAGTTCAAAAGTTAAGGACACTTGGTCCTTAACTTTGAGTTCCAAGTTCAAAAGTTAAGGACACTTGGTCCTGAACTTTGAGTTCCGAGTTCAAAGTTAAGGACACTTGGTCCTGAAGTTTGAGTTATACGTTCAAAAGTTAAGGACACTTGGTTCTCAACTTTGAGTTGAAAGTTCAAAAGTTGAGGAAACTTGGTCCTTAACTTTGAGTTCCAAGTTCAAAAGTTAAGGGCACTTGGTACTGAACTTCAAGTTTCAAGTTCAAAAGTTAATGACACTTGGTCCTGAACTTAGACTAACAAGCTCAAAAGTTAAGGACATGGTGTCCTTAACTTAGAGTTACAAGCACTGAAATAAATTATATTACCTTGATGTCCTTTTGAATCTTTGTTTCTGATATAGCTATTTTTTGATTTTTTCTAGTAACTTCTGCGTGCATATCCTTTGTAAACTTCTCCGATAATCTCTGAATCAAAAACCATAAAAATAAAAAAGTCTCTTAAGCAAAAATAATCAAATAAAAAACTAATGCTATTCAAAGACAGAGAACCTACTTTAACAATTTCCTTAAGCAAGCTTCATCAAATTGTGTGGAGGTAGGCATTGAACTTTGATCTTGAGACAATGACTCATGCACACTAACAGGCCCCGCATCTTCTTCAATTGAAACAAATGGTACCAACTCGATCAACTTATACACCTATTATATAAGGAAACAAACGTAAGTTTTCAGAACTAAAACACATAACCAAAAAAATAGCTAGTAATCAGATTTACTTACATTTTTATTATGGAAGTATTTTTTACACAGAGAATCATATTGTGGAGATTTCATATCTGAATAACATAACATCTGAGGAAACCCACATTCTCTGAAGTTCACAAATTGTTTTTCCTAGAAAATAGGGAATACTTCCATAATCCAAACACAAAAAGCGAAAGGGAAGCCAAGTATAGTATAACTATCCTTGTCTTTCTCTTTCTCTTTCCCATTGGGCTTCAAACAACTCTTCAATGATTTTACTAACGTATCATAACAAAGAGAGCCCCAGTTGAAAGAAGAGCAGAGTTCATCGTCATCTACTTTCATTAGCTGCTCGGACACATTCCGATTGTTTCGCTTCCCCATCAAAACAGATTCAACAAAATAAATTGTTGCCAACTTCACCGCATCATCATCACTACCTACAAATGATGCAGCTGTACCATCTGGTTGACTAGTAATAAAATTAAACAAATCGCCTAACTCAATTCTATCTTTTCCAGTGAAGTAAACTTTCGAAAGCCTATTCTCTTTTTTACGCAAAACTGTGAAGTCACTAAAGAAGAACATTTTAAACCAGTAATTATATGAAACGCTTCACGTGTAAACTTTACTTCATGGTCAAAAACCTTGAATGTCATTGAATTAGGGTCATTGTGTGTTACATTGTTTCCTTATACTGTAAATCTCCTTTCCAATAGCTCAACGAATTACGCCAAACATCAAACTCGAAAACACGATCTCCTTCCATTAGCACACTACAAAGAAGGAAAAAGAACAAAAAAAAATTAGGACTAAAATCCAGGACTAAGTAAATGCATCTTAAAGTTAAGGACAATAGGTCCTCAACTTACAGTTACAAGTTCAAAAGTTAAGGACACTTGGTCCTGAACTTCAAGTTTCAAGTTCAAAAGTTAAGGACACTTGGTCCTGAACTTCAAGTTTAAATTTCAAAAGTTAAGGACTCTTGGTCCTGAACTTTGACTTACAAGTTTAAAAGTTAAGGACACTTGGTCCTAAAGTTTGAGTTCCAAATTCTAAAGTTAAGGACACTTGGTCCTGAACTTACAGTTACAAGTTCAAAAGTTAAAGGACACTTGGTCCTGAACTTCAAGTTTCAAGTTCAAAAGTTAAGGACACATTGTCCTTAACTTAGACTTACAAGTTCAAAAGTTAACGACACTTGGTCCTGAACTTTGACTTACAAGTTCAAAAGTTAAGGACACTTGGTCCTGAAGTTAGAGTTCCAAGTTCAAAAGTTAAGGACACATGGTCCTGAACTTCGACTTCCAAGGTCAAAAGTTAATGACACTTGGTCCTTAACTTTTGTAGAAGCACAGTTAACTAAAAATTCATAAACACAGTTAGCTTATGAATTCGTACGACTATTTTTATGAAATATCCTTACATAATCAAATATATTGATTGAACCACAAACACATTTCAATACAAAAAAGTTCTGAATAACTTCCTCACAAAAATCCGCTCCTTATTCCACACTGAATCAAGTTATAATCATTATTTTTTAAATTTCACACATACTTGATGCCAAACACAACATTGATTGCGATTACAGTTATACAAAAATAAAAATGCATAAAAGCAAAATGAAAAACATACCAGTTCGCTGGTTCGATGCAGAGAAGATGACAAAGGAGAAGAGATTAAGTGCAACAAACTACACGCAGAGAATCGCTGGGCATGAACAAAATCGAACTTGATTTGCATGCAAGGAAAGATACTGATACTGAGGGACTCTCAAATTTTGCCTCTGAATGTATAAAATAAGGGTTTGGGAATATAAGAATAGAAGAAAGGGTAAAACTGTTTTTTTAAAATAATTTTAATAGAGTAGTGACTATTTTGGCTCAGCATTAGAATTGGTGGATAAAAAAATAAACACCACCTTATTTTGTGGCTACCACACGCCATTTTTACAACTTTTATCAACAAAAAAAAAAATCAAACTGTTTGAGAAGGAATGCACACAGGTAGGCTTTCAAAACTCAGTTGGAGATTTAAGTCACATTTTATTTCAATATTCTACAAACTTATAAAAGTCTCAGCAAATTAAAGAAGTTCAAAAACAAAAATATTCAAAAACTTTAAAAACAACCACTAATTGTCTGAGGTGGGGGAATGAAAGGAAAAGAGAAAGAGAGTGTTCGGATTGGCTTATTTTAAGTGCTTATTGGCTTTTAAGTCCCTTTTTAGTTTGTGTGGTGTTTGACAATAATAAAAAAAATGCTTAAAAGCACTTACTTTTAAACATAAAAAGTACAAAAATAAGCCAAAAGCTAAAAGTTAGGTATTACCAACTTATGACTTTTGACTTTTAGTTTAAAAACTACTTTTTATAAGCCAATCTAAACACCCTCGAAGAGTTGCGCATGTGGCCCGATGTTAACACTTCCATTTGTTTACAGGACTTTTGGTCAGGCAAGTTAAGTGGGTATAAGAACTCTCTAACAGAGTCCAGTAACCACCACAATTTTTTGCGGACCAACAATTTACCCAAAAAGATTTTCTGGGTCTAAATTTCGTGGGTTACGCACCTAGGAATGGTAATACTGTGTAGTTGGATACTTGGATTATGATGCGATTGAAGTGTCCTCTCAAAGCCTTTACCAATAAACCTTGTTTCTTCCCCTCCTAACCAGTGATAAAAATGTTGATGAGTACAACCATCTTCAGTTCCATTCATCTCAAAACCTCTTCTTTCTTCCCAACCCCGCTTCCCACCAAACACCAAAATCTCACTTTCTCCTTCAAACCCAATTCCCCAATTGCCCCCATCAAATGGCACCACATAAGTTCCTGTGCAGCTGGTCAAGAAATCGACATGGAACGAACCAATGAAGGACTATACACTGCAAAACCCAAAAAAGTCGTAATCTTGTGGGACTTAGACAACAAACCGCCACGAGGCCCGCCTTACGAAGCAGCCATGTCATTGAAAAAAGTAGCACAATGCTTTGGTGAAGTCGTAGATATGTCTGCATATGCCAATCGCCATGCTTTCATCCATCTTCCTCAGTGGGTTGTTGAACAAAGGCGCGAAAGGCGCCATCTTGATGTTCTCGAACGTAAAGGTGCTGTAACCTCTTCTGAACCTTACATTTGTTCTGTTTGTGGCCGAAAATGTAAGACTAACTTGGATTTAAAGAAGCATTTTAAGCAGTTACATGAGAGAGAAAGGCAAAAAAAGCTCTCTCGTATGAGGTCACTTAAAGGGAAAAAAAGGCAGAAGTTTAAAGAGAGGCATGTTGATGGTAATTACAAGTATATAGAGGCTGCTAGGAGTTTGATAACACCAAAAGTGGGGTATGGTTTAGCAGCTGAGTTGAGGAGAGCTGGGGTTTTTGTAAAGACGGTGGCGGATAAGCCACAGGCTGCAGATTGGGCATTGAAAAAGCAAATGCAGCATTCAATGACTAGAGGGATTGATTGGTTGTTTTTGGTTTCTGATGATTCAGATTTTTGTGATATGTTGAGGAGAGCAAAGGAAGCTAATTTGGGAACTGTAGTAGTTGGGGATATGGACAGGGCATTGGGGAGGCATGCTGATTTATGGATTCCTTGGAATGGGGTAGAGAATGGGGAGATAAAGGAGAAGGATTTAGTGTTAAAGCTTGAGAGGAGGAGGGAGTCATGGGGTAGGAGTAATGCGCGGTTTTCTGTGAGTGAATTTAATGGTGGGATAAGTGAGGAGGGTACTAGTGTAGGAAGTTTGATGGATGATATTGTTGAGAAGTTGGAGCTTTCTGGCGCGAGGATTTCGGCTTTCTCTGAAGGGGAGGAGGATGAAGATGTTGAGGAGCTGGATGAGGAAGACTGGCTTCGAGCAAGATTGGATCAACCAGGTGATGACAATTATGATACAGAGGACTCCTTATTGGATAGCGAGGATGAGGAGGGGGACTACTTATTGGATAGTGATGATGAAGATCTAGGCCAGATGGTATAAATTGATGATGAAAGCAATAAGAGAAAAAGCACTTTGGTATTGCTTTGTCGAAAGATTTATAGGAATTGTTTGAGATAAGGAGTATGCTCTGTAAAAATGAGGGAGAATGAAAGGTGGCTAGAGCAATTTGACATATTGATTGGGTATGTCTCTGGCAGTTGAGCTATCTTCGAGTATGTCGAGGTAATACAGATGTAACCTGACTTTATCTTTCAGAAGTATCCAACACTGTTACTTGGTTATCAAAGTATTGCTTTGAAAGTTTACTGTGGCTGTATTCTCTTTCACAAACTTTCTACAAGGTCACTGTCTGCTTCTCGCTTATGGGAATATTCCCATTGATTCGAATATAATACATGTCAAATTCCATTTTTTGGGCTTTTCTCCAAATTTATTTTTGGAGCTCTGGATTATTTGTGATATTGTCATCCGATAAAGCTCTGAGTTATTACTTCTTTATCTCTCTGTTATGTGTATTGCATATACATGACTCATATTAGTTGTTCTTGGGGTAACTCTTCTGCACCTGTTTTTACCTGATCATTTTTTTGAGGCAGTCAAGTATCAGCACACGGGGGTTCTTCTACATATTAGATGTGGAAATTTCTGCTGCATTCAATTTTGCTATGTGGTTTGGTGAATAAATATACCAGATAAAAGAGTGAATGTGGAATTTCTTTTAACTAATTCAACTCTTTGCTTTTCTAATCAAACTGCCAATCACGCCACACCAATTATGCCACTTATGTTTTTGCTTCTGTTTTCATTTCCTCCGCTATTGTTACATGAAACTACTAATTACACCCCTACCATTAAGCACATCTTGATCACGTGGAATTTGAAAGGATAAACAGATAATAGATCAGATTGGCCAAAAATAAGCATTAGACAAATCAACTAAACAGATAAGCAAAATTCTGAAGAGCTTGTGTTCACTTTATCCCAATAATGATCTAAAGACATCGACTTTTGGACTGCACATAGCAGCGGGGACATTACTGTAAAGCCATATTACAGGAGGCTAACCATCGGTGTCCAGTTCCTTTCATGGCCTTGGGGAAGAGGTGGAGATCCTAAAGTCCCCATTAATATAGCTTGTTTTTGTTGGGTGCTAGGAGATGACGCATGCCTTACTCAGATATATTTGCAGAAAAGAGAAATGATGATCTTTCAGTAAATGCTTTATGTGTAAAAAGGAGGTGGAGGGCAGTAGTCATCTGTTTCTGCATTGCTGTTTAGCTAGACAACTTTGGAACTTTTCTTTTATAAATTAACATTATTGGGATAAAATGGATGATGCCACTGTCTGTTAAGGAGCTCTCTAGCAGCTGGATGGGCTGCAAATGCAATAAAGAACTGAAAGATATGGAGAACAATTCCAGCATGTGTCTGTTGGGTCTATGGAAAGAAAGGAACCAGAGTAAAATAAGTATTGATAATGTCAATACATTTCCTCAACTGAGAGAAAAATTTGCTCCCAAAGACAACTGCAATTAGTACTAGTTGACAGAAGTAATCGAAAACAAAGAATAGTTAATAAGATGTCATGTTCCATGGTATTGGCAATAAAATTGAGGATGACAGGGAACCGTAAATGGAGATTTTATATGCCAAAGAACCACCGCTTGGAGTACAGAACTGATTTTCGTACTATTTAGAAGCGACAGTTAAGGTCCTCTTCGCCGTCCTAATTCCGGAAATTACGGTAAAGTCCTTTCGTTGTCTTGTTGGGCTATTGAAATTGCATGAACTCTGGGGTTAATTTGGTATTTTTGTCATATTTTACACAGCCGCTTTCTGCGACACTAAAACCTTCTGCTGAATTCTCCCACTCTCTGTCCTATTGGCACGCGCCTCTCTTTGGTTACCCGTTACTGATGTGCTAAACCCGCTTTTGGCGATGTGTAGCTCTGCAACACCAGCACTTTGATGGGCATGTGTAGCGTACTTCTGGCGTTAACCGTTAACCCTTGAAGCCAGTTCACTTTTGCTGTCCTTGTTTCTGCTAATTTGATCTTTATGAGACAGTTTACCAGGCTGCTTAGCTGTGACCGCCCAATAAATTTTGGAACATGCTCTGTTTTGCTTTGGTCTCTGCTTTTCTGCTATCCATGTTATCGTCTCTCTGCCTGCTTGCTGATAGGTCAGTGCTCTAGCCTTCGTCTTTCATCTCCTCCTTTAAATTTGTGTCTGCCTTGATGGACTGCAAAGGTTTAGGAAAGGGTTTTGGTTTGATTTCCAGAAACCAATAGATCTAAAAGCTTCTGCTTATGGATTTCATGAAGAGCTTTTGAAAAGCTCTTCTAGACATTTTACAATGTTTACTTCTCTATTTTTCTTATAGGCTCCTTTAAGGTCCTCGTAGTCTTGATGATAAAAAACAAGAAGTTAAATTAGTGAAAATACTGGGTAAAGTTTACGTGTTTACAATGAATGAATCTTTTGTTAAAGAGTAAATCATCCTTGATCGTTATTAGTCAGGACCCTTTTAAGTCTGTCATGAACATGAATTAACAGGATTATAAGATAAAGCACCATATGAATCGCTAAAAGTAAAAAGAATAACAGGAAAAGAACCTTTTCTATTCGTTACATTGCTTTAGGAAGGAAGATGTACCCCTACCACTAGAAATATTTTAAATTTATAGCTGTCTATATCGCACTAGACAAAGATCAACTTCCTTCGAACTCACAAAAAATAAACAATATAAATACAGTCCACATGTATACTGATATTGCTATGGCTCTTCTATATAGCTGTACATGAATTTGGACAAGATATCATTTATCAGTTCCATTGGTTCCAAACTGGTGGTATATGCAGCCTAAGGACAAGAACAATCATACAACTGATCCAGATAGGCCTGAGGTGTCAGGCATTTTCCATCTGATCACCGCATTAATATTATATGGTTATTTAATTCCTATTTCCCTCTATGTTTCTATTGAAGTAGTGAAGGTCCTACAGGCATTGTTCATAAACCAGGATATTACGTAATATGTATGCTGACAAGACAGGAACTCCTGCTCAAGCACGGACATCAAACTTAAATGACGAGTTGGGGCAGGTTGATACCATCCTCTCGGATAAAACTGGTACTTTGACATGCAACCAAATGGACTTCCTAAAATGCTCCATTCCTGGTAATGCATATGGAACACGAGCCAGTAATGTTGAACTTGCAGCTGCAAAGCAGATGGCAGAGGACCTTGGCGGGTAAGATGAAATTTCACAGACTCATTATAATTGAATTAGAGACGGTTGTCACTCCTAAAAATGAGATCAGGCCTGCAATAAAAGGGTTCAGCTTTGAGGATAACCGACTTATGAAGGGGAATTAGATAAAGTAGCCAAATGCAGATGTCATCTTGCTATTTTTTTAGGATACTTTAACTTTGTCATACTGCGATTCCTGAGTTAAATGAGGAGACTGGCAGCTAAAATTATGAAGCAGAGTCTCCTGATGAAGCAACATTCCATATTGCAACTAGGGAATTTGGCTTTGAGTTCCTTAAAAGAAAACGGGAGAGATATCCTTCTTTTGAAGAGCCAAATTAAAGGTGATTCAGCCTCAATTATTGCCGGTTGTTTCAAGATTTACATTACCTTGTAGTATAATACCAACTTTCTCTTGATCTTTTATCTATAGGGAATTCAAAGTTCTCAATCTACTGGACTTCACCTGCAAGCGGACCAAGAATGTCTGTTATTATTCGGGATGAGCGGGGCCAGATTCTTCTCGTGTAAAGGAGCAGACAGGTCTTTTTTTGACATTTTTTAAAGTTAGTCTATTTCGTATCTACTTCGTTATCCAGTGAAGTAGGTCATTGATGAGGCTATTGTGCTATAAAAGATGCTCTTAACATGCTGTAGGCATGCAAAATTTATTGAATTTAAATTCAATTAAATTTTGACTATATTTTAATTTCAAGATACATCGGTCCAAATAAATATTATGGGGTAATATAATTGAATTAATTATATAAGTCCAATATATATGGATTAAATAAATAAGTCTTAATGCATTGGGTTAGCCCATTTAATTGGGCTACAAGTAATGAGCCCACTTCATTAGGCCCAATATGTCATATTCCTAGTGGCCCAGTTTGGTGTCATGTGTCAAGTGATGTGGCACGCTTCAAGCAATCAAGTTCAAGTTCAAAAATCAAGTTCAAGCTCAAGAACGAACAACTTATGCTCAAGAAATCAAGTTTAACCTCAAGAATGAAGAACAAGTCAAGATTCAAAGAGTACGAGTTCGAATCAAAGTTCGTGCTAATTGAATTCAAGATCATCGTTCGTGGAAACGAATATAGATTCAAGATCAAGCTCAAAAGCACTTGAATTTATTTACTATTGGAAAGAAGAATCAGAGGATTCATAGAGATTGTAATACTCAAATATTCGAAATAAAATACTACGATTGTTGCAATATTTTTTGGTCTTGATTTTATTTTCCCGACGCAATTTATTGTCTACAAATTCTGGCACGCCCAGTGTGACGACCCAAAGGGTCATCACTTGTTTCCTTACTCATTTTGTGCTTTCGAGGCCTTGAAAACCTCATTTGGGGTTGCCTCGATTTGCGTGCGCAGTCCAGGCGCGTAGCCGGAAAACTTAAATATGAATTCTGTGAGAAAAATAATAAGTTTTGATTATAAAATGAATTAATTTGACCTTGGTCAACGTTTTGGGTAAACGGACCCGGACCCGTGATTTGACTGTCCCGGAGGGTCCGTAGGAAAATATGGGACGGCGTATGTCCGGAATCGAATTCCAAGGTCCCAAGCCCGAGAAATGAATTTTTGAAATAAATTGTTTTCTGAAATTGTTTATAAGGTTTTGAAATGAAATTTGATTAGAACCTGATGGTATCGGGCCCGTATTTTGGTTCCAGGGCCCGGTACAGGTCTTATATGTGATTTAAGACGTTTCTGTGAAATTTGGTGAAAAACGGAATCCATTTGACGTGATTCGGACCTTAAAAGCAAATTTGATGTTTAAAGAAGTTTTGAGAAATTTCATTGATCTTGAGGTTTAATTCGATGTTCATGATGTTATTTTGGTGATTTGAGTACACGCATAAGTCCGTAGGATTGTTTTGAGGTTGTGTGTATATTTGGTTTGGAGCCCCGAGGGCTCGGGTGAGTTTTGGATAGGCCACGGGGTGAAATTTTGGACTTAAGGAATTGCAGACCTGCAGGTTTCGCATTTCCCAAACATTTTTCGCAATTCCCAGGATTGTTCGCATTTCCCAAACTTTCTTCGCAATTCCCAGGTTCGCATTTCCCATACATTTTTTGCAATTACCAGGCATGTTCACATTTCCCAAACTTTCTTCGCAATTCCCAGGTTCGCAATTCCCAAACTATTTTCGCAATTCCCAGGCATGTTCGCATTTCCCAAACTTTCTTCGCAATTCCCAGGTTCGCAATTCCCAAACTATTTTCGCAATTCCCAGGCTTGTTCGCATTTCCCAAACTTTTTTCGCAATTCCCAAACTTTTTTCGCAATTCTCAAGCCTGCAGAGGTTGGTTCGCAATTGCGAACCCCTGTTCAATTCCCATGTCAGAGACCTGCAACTTTTATACTTAGACGATTTTAAATCCATTTTTCATATTCTCTCAAAACCTAAACACACTTAGGCGATTTTTCAAGGTCTCCAAATCAATTGTAAGTCATTTTTAACTAACTTCCTTCAATTCTTAATATCTTTTAACATGATTTCTACTTAAAATCAATGATTTTCATGTGTGAAATTGAGGGTTTTGGGTAGAACCTAGGTTTTCTAAAAATTGGGGATTTAGACCTCAATTTGAGGTCCGATTTCAAAACAAATTACATATTTGAGTTCGTGGGGGAATGGGTAACCGGGTTTTGGTTTGAACCTCGGGTTTTGACCACGTGGGCCCGGGGGCGATTTTGGAATTTTTGGGAAAAACTTTGGGAAATTCATTTTTATGCATTCAAATTGATTCATTTAATGTTTATTAAAGTAATTAAGTAATTTGTGGCTAGATTCGAGCGGATTGGAGGTGGAATCACGGGGTAAAGCCATAATTGAGACTTGAGTTGAATTCAAGGCATCGAGGTAAATGTTTGGTCTAACCCTAGCCTGAGGGAATAGGAGTTGAGTCTTATTTGCTACTTGTTGATTGTCGAGTACGATGTATAGGCATGGTGACGAATATCTATACATTGGTGTCTAGCATGACCGTGAGTCCTTATTTTGCGAATAGTTTGGATTTTGTTATACCTTCCATGCTTAATTGATGACTTCTATATGTTGTAAAGAGCTTGTGAAAGGAATTGTGATCTTTAAACTTCGTGGAGCGTTGGCTCGAGTTGAAATACAAATTGTGAAGGTATATGAGATAAGTAATTCTTTGGAGCATTGGCCCGAATGATAATGTGAACTATGTGATGAAAGTGAAAGAAAGAGAAAGAGTTATTGATCTATTCCCTTGCCGGGACGTTGTTGATTATTGAATATTTTCCCTTGCCGGGACGTTGAGATTATTGATGTTGTACCCTTGCCGGGATTTAATTGTTTTATTGTGTTCCCTTGCCGGGATTTCTATTACTATTTTGTTTATTCCCTTGCCCTTGTTTGTGATTGTTGTTTGGGGTGAGGAAGAGTGTAAAGCACGAAGGGTGATGCCGTGCATTGTTTGTTTATTGTGAGGAAAGAGTGTAAAGCACGAAGGGTGATGCCGTGCATTGTTTGCTATTGTGAGGAAAGAGTGTAAAGCGCGAAAGGTGATGCCGTGCCGCACGATGTACCATTCCGTGCCAATTCTATTGATTATATGTGAGGAAAGAGAGTAAAAGCACGAAGGGTGATGCCGTGCACATTTTGTTATTCTAATTGCTTGGTGAGGATGAGAGTAAAAGCACGAAGGGTAATGCCGTGCACTTGTCTTTGATTTTCCTGATTTTTTTGCTGATAATTGAGTTATGTTGTCCTTTACTTCTATTTATTGATTTTCTGGTTGTCATCGGTTCAAGTGCATTAATTGTCTGATTCCCCTGTTACTGAGATTCTTTATGTTGGTATTTTCCTTTATCGTGTTACTTGTTATTATTGGCTCGATGTATCCTTGCGCAACATTATGCTTTGAAATTATGCTATAATTGCTACATGTTTATGTGATTTAATTGCTACTTGACATTTAGCATACTAAATGTTAAATTGCCTATTTGCTCCTTATAATCCATAATTAATTGCTATTTGTCATTATTTGTTTTTCTTAGTGAATCATAAATTTTATGTACTTGTTGTCTTAAGAACTCGTATTAATTGTTGCGTTTGTTAGAGTAAATTTTCTTTTGGAGGAACTGTTGATTTAATGAAATGGGAGCGGGTGGTACGCCTACNATTTAATGAAATAGGAGCGGGTGGTACGCCTACCACAAGTGATATTGAAATGGGAGCGGGTGGTACGCCTACCACGAGATATTGAGAAATGGGATCGGGTTGCACGCCTGCAACAAGATGAGTTGAACATGAAAGTTGCCTTATCTCTTCATTTACTGCTAGAAGTTAAATTGTAGATGTACGCTTTATTATTCCTGAAATTCTATTTCTAACTGTTGCCTCTATAGCATGCTCCCTTCCCCAGCTTAAATTGTTATTTTCTTGCTATGTCTCCGTTGTACTTGTATATATATATATATATATATATGCACATGTTTATTTGGTGGTCTGGTCCTAGCCTCGTCACTACTTCGCCGGGGTTAGGCTAGGCACTTACCAGCACATGGGGTCGGTTGTGCTGATACTATACTCTGTGCTATTTTGCACAGATCCAGGCTTCGGACAGCAGCAGTAGTGTGGGAGCAGGCTTTCACCCAACGAGATCTGAGGTAGCCTTGCAGGCGTTCGCAGGCCCTGGCATCTCCTTTCATCTATATTCCTGTTTCTTTCATGTATTTCTGGAGACAGTGTCGAGTTTATTTCTTTCAAACCTTTATGTGTAGCATCCTTAGACCGTCTGTGAAACTGTGACACCAGTCTTGGGTAGAGGCTTTTGTAGAGATTTTTTCGCATATTTATTCAGTTTTTTATAATATTGAGACTTCCGCTTATTATTAAATTTCATGGCTTTGTATTATTGCCGATAATTGTTAAAAGGAATTATGTTATTAATGAAAAAGTAATTAAATTTGGCTTGCCTAGCTCTCATTAGTAGGCGCCATCACGACTCCCGAGGGTGGGAAATCCGGGTCGTGACACCCAGTGGGACAATCTCTACCTCTCATCTCAACTTTTCAATCACCAATGTTCAACAAACATTGAAATGGCTTCAAAGAAAATCAACTCTGGTTCAACTTCCACCAAGGCTGCTAACTCCAGGTTCTATGCTGATGTGGAAAGCATCCTCGAAGTTACCTTTGGAAGCTTTGGACCAGTTACGAGGAGCAAAGCGAGCTCGTTAGGACAACAAGCATCCCAAGTGCCGTCCTCATGTACCCCTGTTTTCTGATCTCCATCCTCAAAGGAGCAAGATCTTCCACAAACGCACCCGAAGGAGGAAGCGATGTTGCTGAAAAGATCAAGAAAACTCTTGGTCTACTTGACCTCTCCAGATCCAAGCACTCTGATGTGAAGGAAGATGTTTCTTCAAATGATGGATCCTCCCCACTTACACCACATAACATGAGCCAATCAAGGATCAACTGTGTGACAATACATTCTACTCTCCATCGTCCACAACAATCATATGTGGAGGAGCAGTTGGCAAATTTGACGGAAGCAATCGCTGGCTTGACCAAATGCATGCAAAATCAAGAGGCTAGAATTGACAAGCTAACATACAGGGTGAGAATCTTGATGGAAGAAGAATCCACCTATGAACCTGGCAAACTCCCAGAAGTTTAGGAGATTCATCCTCCCTCACGACAAGTTGCATCCACTAAAGAAATTC